GAGAGAGAGAGAGAGAGAGAGAGAGAGAGAGCGCAATAGCAATAGCAGTTAGATTTATATACCGCTTCATAGGGCTTTCAGCCCTCTCTAAGCGGTTTACAGAGTCAGCATATTGCCCCCAACAACAATCTGGGTCCTCATTTTACCCACCTCGGAAGGATGGAAGGCTGAGTCAACCCTGAGCCGGTGAGATTTGAACCGCTGAGCTGCTGATCTAGCAGTCAGCCTGCAGTGCTGCATTTAACCACTGCGCCACCTCGGCTCTTCCCAAAGCCTATTGGGAAGTCAGAAAAGTTGTCCAAAAATACAATAAATAATATTGGTTTCATGTTCATTTTTCTTAAGACATATACAATATGACAATGCTTCAGTTTCTAGAGTTCGTTGCTAGGTTTGCTATTAAAAAAGAACCACGGAAAGATTAATTTTAATTTTTCGTTGGATCAATGGCATTTGGGGAAACTATTGTTGCTGAAAAATTAACACAATAAAGAGTACTAAAAGTCTGTACTATTATGAATACATTAGTTCAAATCCATTTGGGATATATGAGCAATATTCTTCCTAGTTATTTTCAGAGTGAAAATACTGGGTAAGTCTGTTTTACAATTGGTGCGTTTTTCTTAAGAAATCATGCGCATTTATACATATTCTCTTCTCGTTCTCTTGCTGTCCTAGTTCACAGATTACAACTGCGAGCAACTACTGAAGGAATTTCCATATTCTTTTTTCTTAGGCCAGGAGTACACCAACTTTGCATAACAAGATCATCTTTTAAAGCTTATTCCAAATAATCTTCCTTACCTCTTTGAAGTTGGTGACAGCTTTCCCAGTCTCCACCACATCTCCTGAGTATTCCATTCCTAAAACAGAACATCATCTCTATAATAACACAGAGTTATTGCATGAATCATCAGTCAGTTCCACACTAGTTGTCACATCTATCATCAGTTACTTCCCCACTAGTAGCAATCACCTTACATGTAGAGTAAAAACACAGACTTGGTAACAAGGAAAATAAACTTCTTTTCTGTCTAGCAAAAGATTTAAGCCAAAGGAACAGATCTGAATTATAGATGTTTTCAGGAGATGCAAGGACAGCAAGATTAGTATTTTTCTTTGCCTTGTAATATTAAATATACTCTTGAGTATCAGCTTTTTCTGGTCAAAATCTTGGTGACTCTTATTTATTTAGCGATCAAATTTATTTGCCACCTATCTTGCAGCTCCAATGATTCTGAGTGGCTTACTGACATATAATTATCTTTGTGGCAGTAAGAAAATGTTATTGCTGTTTCTTACTGAGATGTTTTTCATTTTTCTTATGTAACCTGGAAGTTCCTGATGGTTTTCCATTCGAATACCAGCCAGGTCCTACTTTGTTGAGTTTTTGAACTAAAACAAGCCTGGCCAAGTATTGGTATCTGCTGAGATATCTACCCCATCATCTTCTGGTGACCAATGCATTCAGTTTCAAAATTCAATTTTGAGGCTCCAAATGTGGATTTTAGAGGTCTATCTGACCTAATTTGGAGATTTTTTTTTCATATTTCCTCCCAACTGCTACATTTTACTTTATCTCACCTGAAGGGTTCTGGAGAATTTGAAATTTTGCACACATTTATGCCTTTTCTTGACCACTAATGGATTCTACATTATTCCTCCCCTTCTTCCTATATACTGTATGTACAATATGCACACACACACATGTATGTATGTATATACACATTGTCTCTCTGTCTCTCTGTCTCTGTCTCTGTGTGTATCCCATACTAAAACAACTGATATATAATCATTGCAGAGCATTGGCCAGAAGAGGTCACCATGACCACAATAAAGAATATTTTTTAAAATGGAACGAAATATTAATACTATTATCATTTTTTTAATCCTGTTTTTATATTTATCTTTTTTTAAATAAATGTTATTAAGTTTTCAAGAGAATGAAAATCAAACCCCCAACTAATGCAAAATAGAAAGAACAAAGATAGGGAAAACAAGAGGAAAAACCTTATATGCAGGAAGAAATAAAAAAATAGGAAAAAAAAGAAGCTTCTGATTGCCTCTACAGCAAACATGATTACAAAATTATCTCTTATTCTGTGATTAGAAGGAGCCGAGGTGGCGCAGTGGTTAGGGTGCAGTACTGCAGGCCACTTTCAGCTGACTGTTATCTGCAGTTCAGCAGTTCAAATCTCAC